CCCTGTGGATTCAGTATGCTCATAGCAGCCAAAGGTAGTGCTCCTTCTGACTTGTGTTTGGTTTAGAATCTACAGCCTTGAAAGGGATTTCCATTATTACTTCCTTGCAGGTTATAATCGTAATCAGAAAAGGAGAAAGACAAGTTTTACTAAATCCTGTTTCTTAATTGCTACTCTTCTTGCTCTGGAAATATTTCCTGAGTTTAATCTATTCCTAGTAAATTTATTTAAACAGTAATGCTTAATTAAATAACAAATGCAGTTGGTATTTAAGTGATTTGTCTATTTTGAAGTAGTACCCTATTTCCGTTTAATGTAATTGCTGTATTTAATCTTAGATCTAACTAATGCGTGCCATGTGCCAAATTCATTCATTGCTTGGTGTCGTGCAGAAGACACAAGGCAGGCAGTAATATGGGCCCCTTGGGGAAATTCTGTGGCCTCACTGGAAATGCAAAGTATGTGAAACAGCAACATAAAATTACGCAGTGCTCCAAGCTACTGTAGAGGCCCTTGAAGTTCTCCAGTGTACTCTGAGGGTAATGGCAGAGAGTGATTTTCATGCCTTATTATAGTTACGTTGCAACTGCTTTGTCCAGTTCACAATCAATTCTTATTCAAAATCTAACAACAAATATTGAGTATACACAAGAGTTATTTCCCTGTTGTGGCCAACCAGTCCGCTTCTACTGCTTCCTTGGGAAGAAACACTACCAGAAACAAATGATGTATGCAAGAATATGTATAGGAATTGTTGTTGTGAACTAATAATCTCATAACAGTGGAGCCACAGCTTTAAAGTTTGCTTAAATAGGAAGCTAATACATTATTTTTACAGTAGTTAAAGTTTCATAAATTCATCATTAAAATTGGGAGAATACTCGACTATTGAAAAACAAGTCAAAGATTACTTGGGAAAACCTCACTAATTTCTCTATAGCAAATAACTGACAGTTCAGTTTGTCTCTTAGAAATGAATTCCCTTTGCCCCTTAGGTTTGCAGCTTAATTCGTTTTACTTGAATAAATAGATGGTGTGGTAGCAATATTCATGTCTGTTTGGAAGAGCTCATCTGACCTGCTGTTTCCCTCCCAGCAGTGGGAGGATAAAAATGGTATATATTTTTAAAGTATCTGTTGGACTTTTCTGATAACTCCAAATTATGAACTCTGTGACTTTTGACTTGATGTTTTTGGAGTGTTTGTGGTAGTGGAGCTCTTCGGACATAAGCCTGAAGGATGTGTGGGGGACTGGGGCTCCACAATGGCTTTTCTCCTTTATAGAGCATCTAATAGAGATGATTGCTTCTGTTATTTACTACTGTAATATTTTGTTTCTCTCATCAGCCTCGTGTCATATCTGAAAGCTACAATTAACAGTGGTTTTCAGCAGATAACTCTCACCCAACAATATATATCATGATAACCTTCGCACATCACAATTGAGAAAACAGTTGGAAATTTACAGCAGTGCCTTGTAACTCTGACTGATGACAGTATATGTATTATTAACATGTTTTTCTCAGTATTTTGCATGCACAGAGAAGTGCTGGATAGAATGAATTGCCCTCCCATTACATATCATAAATCCCAGCTACCATGTACTCCATCTCCTGTTTGTTTGCTTTGAGAATGCACCCAGTGCTCTGTAGCACATTCTTCCTTGTTTTCGTGTTACCCCTTTAGCATTCTCTGCTCTCTGCTGGGAGGATGGAGGGCAAGGGATCAGCATGCTGGTGGAGAACTAGCAGCTACTCTGGTTTTGCAACACAAGGCCTGTTTTGTTCTCTCCCTTCCTCCCCGTGCCCCCTCCCTGGGCTGCTGAGAGATTATTTGTCTCTAGCAAGCTCAGAGCTGGAAAGGGTGGATGTCTGCAACCATCTTCTATATACCACAGATCAAAATCACGCTGTCAAAACATGAAAATACCTCAATAATTTTCTTTTTCATCGTAACTGTCAGCCTCAAGATACCACTTGCTCTCGAGCTACTATGCATAATGTGTGCCAGCTCACTTCCACTCTTGTTAAAACATAAAGCAACAAATTCCCTGGCAGTCTCTGCAAAGCAGAGTAATAACTTTCATTGCAAGAAGGTGGTGAACATAATGTGACTTCTTAACAGCTGCAGTAAGTGATGTGAAGCTATTAACGTCTTTTCAAAACAAGTAACAAGTGAGGGGTTATTTTTCATCTCTATTCCTGAAAAAAATGGCATGTTATTTAAAGCAGATAACATTTTATTTGCACTTCTGTGGATTAAGAATGTTTTACGTGAGTTCTCTAGCTCGGTATTGCCTTGTGAAAGTAAGAAGACTTTAAAACTGAAGCTGAAATGCACTCTAATGGCTGAATTTCAAAATGAGAATTTGGGTGTTAAATTTTATGTATGGAAATGACCAGTGCTAACAAGAGATTTTAGTTCACCCTCACTCTTTTCCCTTCGGATTTATGGTTCCAGGAGAGGTGCTCATTCCATTGTCTGGTTTGTGTCAGTCTATTTGGGTATTCACAAAAGGTGAGATAGGTCTGATGCTTTTGAATTGCTCCCTAAGGAAACAAGTTCTTTGGAGAGAGTTAACACATTACAGATAGAAATAGGAAATAAAGGCAAAAGAATTGAGGCTGCCCCTGCCGATGTGCACACAACAGTCAGTCTATTGGCTGAACAGAAAGGGTTTTAAAAGTTCAGTAGTCAGTACTGATAACTGAAACCTGAATGACTCTTCTGAGGTGTAGCTACAAGTCCCAAAGGACAAATGCTCTCTGGTCTATGTGTTTTGGCAGCTGGAGTTTCCATTGTAGTGTGATTCGCATTGTTTTCATGCAGCTAAAGTTGATAACCATGGTCTGAGGCTGTAGCAAAGAGTGGTGATGGTTTTCCTACGTATCTATCCTGACACTTAGAATATATCATATTAAAAACAAGGTTGACATTTTCTCTAGCTAAATGCATTTTTTAACACGCTGTGTGAGGCTGTCAGCTCAGAGGTGGGATGCGACTATGCTATTTCATAAATACTGCCCAAAATAGATACCCAGAAATGCAGTTCTTGTAACACAGACTCCTGCTGAATAAAGGCAGAGCTGGAGTAGCCAGTGTAAGATCCTGATTTGAAAGGCAGGCATTGGTAGAGCCGCTCAGTCCTACAACTTCCCAGAAGTGTTTCTAAGATCTTTTGCGTGTGGTGTCGTTTCCAACTGTATGATCACTGCCTACAAAAGGAACGAGTGAACTTCTCTGTTTCCTGAAGGGTGTAATGAGGATGTTATTTTTTTTTTCATGAGATTTATTCGGGCTTTTGTCTTCAAGAGTTCAAGGTTTGGAACCAAAAACACAATTTGGAAGTGAAACGTTTTTCAGCTGCAAGTAGTATTAATAGTAATTGCCACTTAGTGATCTTCCAGTTGGTAGAAACAAACCATGGAAATTATAATTGTAGGATTCATTGGGCTTGAGATTGATGAACAAACTAGGCAACCAAGTGGGCAGCATACATTGAGCCAGAGCTCTGGCTCATGTGAAGACGACAGAGCTTATCTGGAATCAGTAGAGCAAAGCCCATTTTATTCCATTTGCCCAAAGAATTAACATATGCCGTGTCAGAAATAGAACTGTTGGAAACAATTGCTGCTTGGGATGAGGATGAAAAATAGCTGGAGAAAGATATGAGGGTGATTAGACTTCTTTAAAGCCAGACGGCTGACTTAAGGATGTAAATGAGGCCAGTCTGGCATTATGGAGGAGTCATCATTGTGTGCTGCACTGACATGAAGCTGCACTTGATAACATCTTTCTCAGCTCTCTTGATTAGGTGAAAGAAATTTGTATACATATTAAATGGGGGAAAAGAACTGTTAAAGATGCCTCAGGAAATGAATTGTTTGGAAAACCAGAGATAATTTAATTTGGTTTCCACTGAAGTTGAGGAAATTCAGTGTTTGCAAGTGCCATTCGAATGAAATCTATTTTATTCTTTAGAAGCATCCTATGAAATAGTGTCTTTTTATGTACTGCAAATGCAAAATTTGAAGTCTTTAGGGAATGTATTATATGTAAAGAAATAGTGAATTACCTTTGAATCATTTCATTATCATCTCCTGACTCACTGCTTGCTGGTGTGTGTTTGTTTCAAGGTATTTGCACAGCCTCAAATATAAATTGTTCCGTTTTGTTAAAATGTGGAGCAATTCTGGAGTAGCTGAACAAAGCTTAATATTAAAAATAACCTGTAGTGAGGGTGAAAAGCAAAAACCCCTGCTTCTCAAAGTAAGCACACTCAAGAGCAATCAAATTGTTCTTATGTGGTTTGGGGGGACACGCGTGCCCTGTGTTGTGTGACAGCCTAAAGCCTTGCTCACATGAGGTAATGAAATTAAAAGAAGCTTTCCTTATCTGAGAAAGAAAAATTCCTTTCAGATCATAAATGTTAAATGGGAGGCATATTGTAATCGGGAGATCATTTTCTTTGCCCATTATCTCCTGCTATTCTGTGATATGAGAACACTTTGTTCTCAACAGAAGTCTCCAGACTTTGCTTTCTCACAGAAGTAATTAAGCAGTAAAGACATTGGATGTCATAGACCTCTTCACCAAGGCATACAGGTGAACGCATCCCATACCCAAGCACGGGTTTCATTCCTTATTTATGCCTCCTGCTCTTGTCTGCATGCACTTTGACAGTTCTTGTTACAGATATGGATTTAGACTCAGGAAACATGGCTTTATGGAACTGCTCATCCCACACTGTATTTTAACACTTAACTATTCAGTGTTGTGTAGAGTGTTTTGATTTTTCTAATATCCATCTTTAATTAAATTGTTCACTTGATGTCTGCCTTTCTTGTGTGTCTTTATTTAATATTAGGCTCTCTTTTCTTTCACTGACCTACAGGTGAAATATTTGACGACAAGTTTTATTTCCACTGTTGTTGTATTTGTTGCAATAGGAAAAAAATTAACATGTGCCATTCTAATTGTTGGTTTCCCTTTTCTTACTAGTTTGCTGCTTTGTGGTTCATAAGAGATGCCATGAGTTTGTTACCTTTTCCTGTCCTGGGGCTGACAAGGGACCTGATACTGATGTAAGTACATTAACATTTAATATGTTGCTTTTACACACGGTTTTATGTTGTTTGCACCTAACTGGGAGAATTAATTGTAAGCACTGTCACTAGGCTTTTTATAATAAATATTCACTTCAGAACTTTTAAAAACCACTTAGACTACAAATATCTATCATAAAGAGCTTGTTGATACTCTTTGTATCCATGTTATCTCAAGGTGCATCTTCAGAGTTGACCCTGGTCCTTATCATTTGCACACAATGATCTCTAGCTCAATGAGATAACAGTTTAATCGTGATCCAAGTGACTTACCTGAGATAGGTTTTTGAAGCAATTACAGCGATGCTTGAGCTTGTATTCCAGTCAGGATACACTCATTCTATCTTGCTGTGTCAATACTTCTGCACACCCGTAGCATTTTCGGTCAACAACCCGTTTTTACTTTGGGCACATCTGCTTACATGGTGAGACACATGGACTAGAATTGTGTGTCACCCTGCTGAAATAATAAGCTAATCTTGTTTGTTCACATAAAGATACCATTCATTTGGGGTTTATAAATTCTGCTTTACAGTGAAGTAATTTAACATCTGCTTATGGGAACAGTGCATTCCAAGAGTTCTTTGTCTGAATGGCTCTGTTTTGTTTCTTACGACATATTCATGCCCTAGATTGTAGGCTATTATCTCTTTTGACGAAATGCACCCAAAGACTTTTCTTGCTAGGTTTTAATGAGCTCCTCATGAGTTGCTTTAATATGCCAGCCATACGATCAATGAACAGTACATGGGCAGAAGCCAAAAGGGGTTTTGGAAAATTTGGGATGTTAAAAAGTTATCTTGTTTTTACATTTAAATACAGTTGTTATTGCTGATTGACACTGTTAGTGGTGGCACGAGTAGCTCTTCTGCACCTATGGATGTTTGACTTTTGAAAGTGTTCTTGATTATTTTTTCGTTTGAAAGGTGACTTCTTTAGGGTTTTTTCCAAAAGTTCATAAATGAGAACAAACATTTATGAGTGAGACGGTTGAATTTTATCGAGAATCAATTCATGGCTATAGAATGTGTTGTGTGGCACGTTGTTAATAGTCCTTAATGTTGCTGACTGCATTTCCTGATTCAATTTTTGGGGCATTGGTGATTAAATAAATCAGTCTAATGCCTTCTTTTGGTATTTGGGTTACCAAATAATCATTTTCAGTATTTACACAGAAGCAATATCTCAAAACCACTTTGAGGATTAAAAGCAAACAGAAAATAAATATGGTTTATTAAAATTTGCTACATTAGTGGGTCTTATTATGTGAAGAGGATTTTAGAGTGTTATACTTTAATTCACTGAAATGTTTGACTGTAATGTCTACCCTTTTTCAGTTCAGTAACTTATCCCTGTCTGAGTTACTGGAAGCTTTGTTCTGAAATGCAGCATGTTAAAAAAGGTTATCATAATATTTAGCAGATTTTTAAATACAAAAAAGTCCTTTTCTACAGTATTTCATGCAGGTGCACAATTAATTTGCATACTCACATTCTCCAGTACCTTCGCCTGACTCAGCCTTTCTGTTAATTTTAAGAGTAATACTGTCATTAATAAAATGAAAATTCCCAGAGTAATAATTACAAATTATAATTATATGTTATAATATTTATTGCATGTTATAAAAAATCTAAATTAGCATGCACTGCGCATTTAGCATAAATGAGGCAATCCTTACAAATACATCTTTAGAGTGGTTATCACTTAAATTTGTTGTATTTACTAAGGAGAATCCAAAGTCTGGCAGTCAGATGGGTGCCCTGCAATGGGTGATGGTCAAGGTTAGACTGCAGAACAATAGGCAAAGCATTTCCCACTCGGAAGCCAAGCTGCCTTTCACAGCCAAGGGAGACGTTTCCTGCAGGTGAGTGTTCCCAGTCCTCCCTGCTGAGGTCGGAGGTATCTGGGACACGATGGCAAGGACTTATTTATAGATGTGTCTTGAGGTGCGATAGTCTGGCACTGACACTGCCTGCCTCGGGGCATGGCAGGTCTCTATGGTGGGGTTATTAGTCGGTTGGGAAGGGGAAAAAACCCTTAATGTTTAGACATTTCATTCTGGTTTCCATGAAAGCTAAACCTGTGGTTGTGGCTGAAGGGCAAGGTCACAGTAATGTCCTTAAAATAATGCTCTTTTGAAAGAGAGAATTGAGCTACTTTAAATTGTGTACAGAGAGATTTGTATCACTGAGTTTCCAAACTCTTGTTTTCTGGCTTCAGCATCCTCCTCAGAAAGGGGGGCTCCACGGATAGCTTCAGTAGACTCTAAATATCTTTAACATCTGTAACAAAAGTTGTTTTTTAACTTCTAGATATATAAACAGGAATACACACTAGATATAAATACACTAGCTAGCTAAATTCAGGAAACAAAAGGGGTTTCAGGCTCTGCAAACCTATTCTCTAGGCTCTCCTATATCTCAAGTATTTAATAAACTGACTACTCAGTTGTATAGAAGTCCTGTGGTCTGTGTCATGCTAAAAATAGTGGTGTACACGTATTGTCTCCTCGTGTAACGATTTTATTTGCGTCAGTATTCTATTGCTGTAGAAAAGGGAATCTCTTCTTTTTATTCCTTCAAAGTTTTAAATGCCTTAATAAAGGTGAGCGTAAAAGAGGCAAAAGCTTAAAATCACCTTGGTTTTGCTTTATTCTGATTAGCTGCAATACAAGGTTGAAAGGTCTGTGTTTGTGCCAAAAGGAAGATAAGACTTGCAAATAAAGTGGTCGTCCTTGACTAGCACTGAAATGATGGTGTCTGGGGAACAATATCCTGTTTCAGATGAAATAAAGATTCACACCACCAGAAAACTTTATGTTTCCTTTATGCTTGGCAGGGTGTTATTTTGCTGCTATCTGATGTCTCTCTGTAGTTTGAGTAGAGATTTTTCATCTTCTCTTCATGGCCAGCTCTTTTATGGTGATGCTATTGAGTACAGTTTAGCAGCTCCTGCTGCTATTATACTCTTAAGTTGCACAAAGCATCATCTCTAATTTAGCTGCTTGCTTTTGGGAGATTGCTTGGTGTTCATAAAAAACTATTTTAAGTCATTGATTAAACGCTTTAAAACTTGAGGAAATTACTATAAAAATCTAAGAGCAACCTCAGGAATTGACTGCTGCTTTGTTAAGAGGTGTTTAATGGTAAGGAGTAAATTGTCAGGTTTCTTTCAGAAAGGGTACTTTAAAATTGAGAGTTAGATCTTTCCTCCCTTTGTTAATGGAATATAGTGACCAGAAAGTGTTTCAAACTGTGTGTGATTTGTTAAATGTTCCCAATTCCACATCACATAGAATTAAACAAAAATCACTTTTAGTTTAAAAAGTGAAAAGAACCTAAATGAGAGGAAGTGACTGTACTGTCCAGTGAGGTTAACTCTGACTTTGCTACTCAAAACTGCAGTGAGTTCGTAGTATTTAAGCACCTAGAAGAGAATCAGTTGATAAGATACAGATGTATCTTATGTATATGTATTATAGAATCATAGAGTTGTTTAGGTTGGAAAGGACCTTAAGATCAAGTTGAACTGTGAGCCACCAAGGGGGGAGAACATTACTGCTAATCTGAATTTTGGATAAAAGGCAGTCTTGTCCTAGAAATATCTTCTTTTTAATTAAAATAAAACCCTTCTCACTTCCTCACAAAAGATACACAAAGGCAGGAGGAAGATCTGGCAAGGTACAGTTTACTGCTTGCCAGATTAGCAATAAATGCTCGCTTGAATTCATACAGGCTGCATGGGTTCCTTGAAGCGATTCTTAAACTGCTCTGATGCAATAAATGCATTAGTTTTCCATTGTCTATCCTAAACAAAGAAAATACAGAGCCCCCTCAGTTTAAAAATGGAGATACCAACTCAGTGTGTTTGTCTGTTTTCTAATTAAGTGATTAATCACACTAGCTGTGTTTACAATGGGCATTATTAGATGAGGATGGTAGATAATACTCTTACATAAAACCATCACAATGCAAGCATACTTTTGTCAAAATATGCTATTCCTTACTATATTACAACTCCCCCTTCCCAAAAGCCTAGTCCTAGGTTCCCAAAATGAGCAAGGTCACAGTTGATGCAGTACTTTAAAACATGTATTTCGGAACAGCAAGGATGTTTTTATTACCCGGACTTTTGAATCTCTGCAGAGTGTCCAAAGTAGTTTATGGAGAAATAAAGGTTTCATGCTTATGGGTTTGACCTCAAAGCCCTAAAAATTAACTACATGGAGAAAAAAATAGCTTTTACAACTTTTATAATTTATTTAAATAATTCTTAAATGGTGCTGTGCACGGCTGTAATGGCTCGGTAGGAAATGTGGGCAGTTGAGTATATTGACAATGAGATTTCACTTTGAACAGAATCAGTCTGGAGGTAAGACTCCTTCTAATGGAAGAGAGAGAATTACAGAAGGAAATCTGCCACAAAGGGCTCTGTATATTGAGTAGATATTCTGCTCATATTCAGCTGGCATCTGAAGAGGATGTGCCTCAGTTTCCCCCATCAATTGCTTTTAAACTGCAGCAGCATCTTACGGCCCTTGACATTCCTCTCCCATTACTGGATACTTCAGAATCCAAGTGCTATTTTCCCCACCCATCTCAAACAATAAAATCCAGCCATATGTCACCCTTTCCACCTTATGTTCATCACCCGTTGGCAGGCACTGCCTGTGTCAGAGCTTTGCTGCTCACCTGCCTGTGGGAGTTTTACCACCACTTGGTACCCAGGCACAGCTTATGCACTGATCAACTGTTCAGTGCCCTCCAGAGACAGGTTTTAATTGCTCTTAGCTGGCTGTACAGAGGTGTTCATTGCACTGCTCACCTGAATGCCTTTGTTTAGGTGGTTGGAAGCAGCCTCTGCTTGAAAGCTGTTCATGTACTGGCACTTGTTTTATCATTACTGAGATGTACCTTCTATTTCCTGATTTAAAGCTCCGGCTATTTTTATGGCAACTGAAACGGCTTTTGAGCTGGAGT